CACACACACACACACACACGCACACACGCACACACGCACACACGCACACACACACACACACACACGCACACACGCACACACACACACACACACACACACACACACACACACACACACAAGGGACCACCCCAGATCGACTATAAACCTTCAGCCATGGAATGTTTGTCGAGCGCTGACATCCTGAGTTATGACATTACTGGGGAAGGGATGGGAGGGGGGGGAGAGGTAATGGGAGAGTGGCGGAGATTCGTGAGGGAGGGGAAAAGGGAGTAGAGAAGGAGAGAAGAGTACACAGCCCACTAGTCCTTCCATCCTCCCACTAGGCGAGACATACGTACATATCCTGACGTATATGTGGTTAGCGAGACACCGCACTGCCAGACGACCCTACACTCTGCCGAGCACTCACCACGGTCATACCTGTGACCTATCTCTAGAGTTACACTTTGGAAATGTCAGAAAAACCTGGTCAACCTAGCTGTTTCTGAAAGCAGCCCGAAAACCTGCATAGCCATCACAGCGGTTTAGATACAGTGGAACCTCGGTACTCGAACAGCTCCATACTTGAACAACTCGGTACTCAAACGCGTTTGGTAAAAAAAATCGCTCGGTAGTTGACAGTTTGCTCGGCACTCTACCAAACAAACACGACCTGCCAGAACATGTGCGTCAGTGTCCCCGCAGCTGTCGCTCAGTCCAAAACTCAGCTGAATTTCAATGTAAACTATTTCGTGTTTCTTCGCATTTTTTTTTATTATCTGTATAAATTAGTCACCATGGGGACTAAGAAGATTAGGGATAACAGCCAACCAAAAAGAAAATTAGCGTGATTGCCCTGATGTAAACACCGCCTCTGTCTCTCCATATGCCTTTTATTATTAATTTCGGCATATTTTTGTGCTTCTAGGTTATCTATCGTGTTTCTGATATCAAGTTGGAATAAATGTGATAGATAACCTTTATTACCAATATTAATTTATACAACACCATTCACGCCACCGCTTCTATCTGGTTATCAAGACGACTCGTCAGATACTGAATGCTCCTTCTGCTGGCCCCTCCCTCTCTCTCCTATAGCTCCTCCCACTTCGGCTCCTCTTATATTATGCTTGCTTTTCATTTTGAATTTTTATTCACACAAAAAATAGAAGATTTACTGTTATGCAGACTATTGCATTGAAATATTTTTTATAAGTAATATCATACATTTGTGAAAGCATATTACACCCACCAGTTGACGTGTACTGGACGCGTGACATTTGTTTACTCTTGAACATCAGCAAAAATCGAACATTTCCGCCAATTTGAGCCCAATTTCAAGGTACTTTTAGTCTGTAAATCATTCAAAATCATCTCTGTTTCTGTAATATATATTTCATTCTATCAATAAGACCACGAAAACGAGAATACAATCATAAATACCATACCAAAATACATCGCAAAGTCGCTGTAAGTGTATTTCTGGGGATGTGAAGCGGATTAATCTAATTTACATTATTTCTTATAGGAAAAAATCGTTCAGTACTCCAACGGATTGGCACTCGAACAGCCTTTTGGAACGAATTAAGTTCGAGTACCGAGGTTCCACTGTATTTTATTAATTCTAAGAGAGCGGTAACCGATATTTGATTTATAGCTAGCTGGTTCAGAGACCTCACAGGTTGATGAATTAGATACTTGTGCAGCATTTAACACACGCACACAAATCTTGAAAAGGACTGATCACATCGACTCCAGGCTGAGGGACTGATTACCTCAAACTCCTTCTGATCTTCAACCATTCTTCTCTGTACTGGACTGAGGAAGCCACTGTGTAGCGATACTTTTCTACAGTAAAAGATACTCAAGTGTTGCAAAAATGTCTAATTCACTGACCTCTTTTCTGTGTTGTCTTGAAAGAAGCCGTGAGTCCAGGATAATATTCCAGACGTGGCAGCACAAGTTGAACAATATCACAAACGACGTGACATCCTTGTTTTGATAACTCTTATTCTTATCTAAATACTCGTTTTCCTCGCCTCTGATACAGCTGCTTGACTGTGCTGCCTAAACCACGGGTGATGTGACATGATTCTTCCTCGGACTTTCCAGTTCTTTGCATTCTATGTGATGCTGTGCTACGTTCCTGTGCTCGTTCTCAACTCCTCGAGTTTTCCCATGTCTGAGCAAGTGGAATTTGTCAACACTGAATATCATGTTATTTTCCTCTGTCCACTGCAAAACTTTCTTGATATCTACATTTTCCTGTGTTTTCGACTGTGGCAACTTCACGCTTGTTCTGATTTATTACCAAAGGATGATAGAAGGTTGTGGCTGCTGCTTGCTACAGGAGGCAGGATCCAGCCTTATTGCTAACTACAACCTTTGATTTGCTAAGACTACATTTTGTCTTGTTTACCACCACACTTTGTGACTCGTAGGACAGATAAGTGAAAATCTACTTCCTAACCTTTTCTTTTAAACCTAATGAACTCATTTTATAGGCTGGAAGTCCATGGTCACATCTGTCAATTAAAACCTGTGTATTCAACGTTTGTAACAGGTCTAGTAGCTGTGACGGGCAGGACCTTCCTGCTCCAGGTTACCGACTTCATGAATTTCCATAGAACTGGCAACCTGACTACTTAACACCCTCTCAGAGAGTGTTATTATGTGTGATGTTTGTGCTACAGGTCTGTTGTATTCTAATGTTGCTCTGCTGCCACCTTTTTGTACTTTGGGGGACCTATGGAATTTCACTTGTCTAAAAAATCATTCTGCACAGTACGCTGAGCACTCTCCCTAGTAGCAATTAAGTTTCATTATATATGCAACACTGCAAGAGTGTGGCACCGGCAGAGAGTACCTGGGCAAGCTGACAGTTTCTTTATTAAGAGGCAAATGGATATGTAGTAATAACAGAGGTGCAAGTTGCAGAGTGAGTTGTGGGGTTAGTTACGGGATGAGTCTACCTGGAGGGCATTCCGGGGATCAACGCCCCCGCGGCCCGGTCCACGACCAGGCCTCCCGGTGGATCAGGGCCAGATCAACGAGGCTGTTACTGCTGGCCGCACACAGTCTAACGTACGAACCACAGCCCGGCTGATCCGGCACCGACTTTAGGTATCTGTCCAGCTCCCTCTTGAAGACAACCAGGGGTCTACTGGTAATGCCCCTTATTGCTGGTGGGAGGCTACTGAACAGTCTTGTACCCCGGACACTCATTGCGTTTTATCTTAGTGTACCAGTGACGCTCCTACTTTTCACTAGGGGTATGTTGCATCGCCTGCCAAGTCTTTTGCTTTCGTATGAAGCGATTTCTGTGTGTATATTAGGGACCAGTCCCTCCAGAATCTTCCAGGTGTAGATTATGATATCTCTCTCTCGCATGCGCTCCAGGGAGTACAAGTCAATTGCTTCCAGGCGTTCCCAGATTCTCTAGATCTGCAATTCTACCTGCCTTGAATGGGGATGTTAATGTACAGCAGTATTCCAGCCTAGATAGAACAAGTGATTTAAAAAGGATCATCACTGGCTTACCATCTCTTGTCTTGAATGTTCTCATTATCCATCCTATCAGTTTCCTCGCAGATGTGATAGTGGTATTGTTGTGGTCCTTGAAGGTGAGATCCTCAGACATTACCACTTCCAGGTCCTTCACATTACTTTTCCGCTCTATTGTGTGATTGGAGTTTGTAGTATACTTAGTCTTAGTTATTATTTCCTCCAGTTTTCCATAACGGAGTAGTTGGAATTTGTCTTCATTGAACATCATATTGTTCTCTGTTGCCCACTGGAAAACTTGGAGCTTTGCCGTGTCCTCAATGGATGGCACTCTCATGCAGATCCTGGTATCGTCTGTCATCTCTGTCTATGTCTGATATGAGAATAAGGAACAGGATAGGTGCGAGTACTGTGCCTTGTGGGACAGAGCTCTTCACTATGGCAGCATCCGATATAACTCTGTTTACCACTACTCTTTGTGTTCGATTGGTTAGAAAGTTGAAGTTCCATCTGCCTACTTTGCCAGTTAGCCCTATAGTACGCATTTTGTGTGCTGTTACACCATGGTCGCTCTTGTCAAAGGCTTTTGAAAAATCTCTGTATACTACATCTGCATTCTGTTTGTTTTCCAGTGCATGTAAGACCATATAGTGGCCTAGCAGTTGGGAGAGGCAGGAGCGACTTGCTCTGAAACCATGTTGTTCTGGGTTGTGCAATTTTTGGGAGTCCAGGTGGTTTGCTATCCTGCTTCTTAGCACTCTTTCAAAGACTTTATGATATGGGACGTTAAAGCTATTGGTCTATAGTTCTTAGCTACTGCTTAGCTGCCACCTTTATGGAGTGGGGCTATATCCGTTGTTTTTAGTGACTGTGGAATCTTGGCTGAGTCTAAGCTCCTTCTCCATAGCATACTTGGGGCCCGTGAGAGAGGTTTCTTGCAGTTCTTTATGACACAAAGTTCCACGAGTCTGGGTCTGGGGGTGAGTGGATGGGGATGTCGTCGATGGCTTTCTCAAAGTCTAGTGGAGTTAGGGTTATGTCAGAAATTTGGCATACATTGGCAGGGTTTTGAGGCTCATTCATGAAAAAAATTGTTTGGATTATCTATCTTTAGACTAATTAGTGGCTCTCTCATTTGTTGTCATCTGTGTAGGATTCGTCTTGTCTGAGCAGGGGTCCTATACTAGATGTGGTTTTTGCCTTGTTTTTGGCATACGAAAAGAAATATTTCGAATTTCTTTCAATTTCACTAATTCTCTCTCCTGGATCCTGTATGAGTCCTTTAACTTTAGCTCAATATTTTCCTTCTGTGTATCAGATAATCTGGCATTCTTGAGGAGCTCAGTGACTCTTCGTCTTATCCTACAGAAGGAGCGTCTCTCTCTCTCCAGTTTACTTTTCTTTCTTCTTAGAGGAATATACCTTGAACATACTTCAGCAACCAGGAGGTTGATCTTTTCAAGGCATTGGTTAGGGTCCATGTAATTTAAGATATCTTTCCAATATGTTTCATTTAGGGCATAGTTTACCTGATCCCAGTTCATGTTCTTGTTGAAATTGAATTTGGTAAAGGTACCCTCACAGCTGTATGCGTTTTGCTGATTAGGACTCCTGCTCATGTAAGTCTGGACTTGTGGGGTTAGTTGTGCGGTGAGTTACGGGATGAGTTGTGGGGTTAGTTGTGGGGTTAATGAGAAAGATGGTGTCAGCTCACATTCTTCTCTAGTACACTCATCAAACTCCAATCGTACTCTCTCTTCAAAATTTCACTCGTTTCTTTCCCTTTGCGTATGCTTTCTCTTTATGTATGCTTTTCCTTCGTGCATGCTTTCCCGTCGTGTATGCTTTCTCTTCGTGTATGCTTTCTCCTCGTGTATGCTTTCTTCTCGTGTATGTTTTCTCCTCGTGTATGCTTTCTCTTCGAGTATGCTTTCTCCTCGTGTATGCTTTCTCTTCGTGTATGCTTTCCCTTCGTGTATGCTTTCTCTTCGTGTATGCTTTCTCCTCGTGTATGCTTTCTCCTCGTGTATGCTTTCTCCTCGTGTATGCTTTCTCCTCGTGTATGCTTTCTCTTCGTGTATGCTTTCCCCTTTGTGTATGCTTTCTCTTCGTGTATGCTTTCTCCTCGTGTATGCTTTCTTCTCGTGTATGTTTTCTCCTCGTGTATGCTTTCTCCTCGTGTATGCTTTCTCCTCGTGTATGCTTTCTCTGTGTATGCTTTCTCTTCGTGTATGCTTTCTCTTTGTGTATGCTTTCTCCTCGTGTATGCTTTCTCTTCGTATATGCTTTCTCTAGGTGTATGCTTTCTCTTCGTATACGCTTTCTCTTGGTGTATGCTTTCTGTTCATATATGCTTTCTCCTGGTGTATACTTTCTCCTCGTGTATGCTTTCTCTTCGTATACGCTTTCTCTTGGTGTATGCTTTCTCTTTATATGCTTTCTCCTGGTGTATGCTTTCTCCTCGTGTACGCTTTCTCATGTATGTTTTCTCCTCGTGTATGCTTTCTCCTTGTGTATGCTTTCTCTTCGTGTAAGCTCTCTCTTCGTCCCTGTATGCTATTTCTCTTCCTCATGTCGCTTCGTCCGTGTATGACAAGACAGCGGAGAACAATAAAAAGAAAGTAGCAGACAAAAATAAACAGCAAGAGAGAGAGAGAGAGAGAGAGAGAGAGAGAGAGAGAGAGAGAGAGAGAGAGAGAGAGAGAGAGAGAGAGAGAGAGAGAGAGAGAGAGAGAGAGACAGACAGACAGAGAATGGGACCACCGCTGGTACTAGTCAGGAGAAAGATGACCTCTTTGCCGAACACTTTGCTGCCACGATGCAAGTTCCTGATCCAGCAAGGGACCCTCCTTGGCTACGTGCAAGAACTGTGTCAAAGCTGTCAGTGGTGACAGAGAGAAGAGCAGAGCGGAAATCAGCAACTACAGACCAGTGTCACTCCTGTCAATCACTGGCAAGATCCTTGAGACAATAATCTCACTGTAGATGACAGTTTTTCGACTACCACTCACTACTTTGTGACCGTCAATATGGCTTCAGAAAAGGTTACTCTGCTGCTGATCTCTTGTTTAACCTCTTCACTAAATGGCACCAGACACTGGATAAATCCAAAGTCAGCTGTATAATAGGATTGGACATTGCTGGTGCTTTCTACCAACTATAGCACCAGGGACTCTTAGCAAAACTGCAAGAACTGGCAACTGCAGAATCTTCACTGTCTCCTCAGTGATTACCTTCAAGGTAGATCTCTATGTTTAGTTCTCAATAACACAGAGTCAGCAAGACATCCTGCTGGGGCAAGTGTTCCACAGGAAAGTGTGCTTGGGTCATTGTTGTGGAATGTCTACTTCAATGACCTTCATCTCATCCCAGAATCTCATGCATATGCAGACGCCTGTACTCTTGACATTTACTTATCCAGAAGAGGAAATGCCAGCTTCTTTAAGTTACATCAATCACCAGGTTACAGTTATATCAGCCTGTGGTAAACGGTGGCAGGTAACATTTGCTCCTGAGAAAACACATGATGATGGTATCTAGGCACCATGATGGTAATGCCGGAGCAGTAGTATGAATCGGAGAGTGTTGGCACCTGGGGACGAAGTTGATATCCTTGGGGTGAAATCTGACTCCAAACTGACGATGAAGAACCACATTGTAAATCTTGCAAACAAGGCAGCCAGGAAGCTTACAGCAATTCGACGTAATTGGCATCTGCTCCACAACAGAGGTTGCAAGATTCATACGAGGCACAAGTACACTCTCACCTTGAGTATGCTCCACTTTCTTGGACTGTGTGTCCCTTCATCTCATCTGCGACTGCTTGACAGAGTGGAGAACAGAGCAAGACGTCTCATATCTCGCCTGGACCCATCCTGGACAGATCTGTCATTTCAGCAGAGCCTTCAACACAGGAGGGATGTGGGTGGCCTTACTGTTATGTACAAGGCCAATAATATCAAAGTAACACACTTGGCTGCACTCTGAGGACCTAGAGACGTGAGCTTCTACACAAGACGGACAACAAGCTGCAACCGTCTCTAGAAAATCACTTCATCTAAAATAATTTTTTCCCAGGATGACTCGAGTCTGGAACATGTTCGTACAGTATAATGATATCAACGAAATGAAACTGATGGCCCACAGATGGCTCCAACTTCATCCTGTTCCCAACTTGTATGTTTCATAACAATAAAAATGCTTTCAAATGAGGTGATGAAGGTAACAGCTCTTAGCTTGCCAATAAAGTTAGGAATCCTAAACCTAGCCTTGTTAAACCCTGTGTTGAGAGAGAGAGAGAGAGAGAGAGAGAGAGAGAGAGAGAGAGAGTTGACCTACATCACGAGCCTGGTTCTCGTACACTGCCTGGTTAACATACTATGGAGGCAGCAGTTTCTTCTATTAATTATATTTGAACACAGGTCATTACCATGGACACTTCTATTATCATAATTAGTGTGATAAACGGTTAGTACTTGATATTGTTGTCCAGTGTGGGGGTGTGAGGGGGGGTGTGGGGGTGGGGGGGGTTGTGTGCTTGTGAGAGGGGCGTGGTGGTGGCTGTGATGGAATGGGGGTGTGGTAGTGTGGGCGTGTAGGCATAGTGCTTGTGAGCGTGGGTGGGTGGCGGGAGAGAGGAGAGAGGAGAGAGAGAGAGAGAGAGAGAGAGAGAGACAGAAGGAGGGTGGGATGAGAAAGAAGTAAGGGGGAGAGAAGGAAGGGGAGGGAGAGAAAGAAGGAAGGAATGAAGGAAAGGAAGGGAAGGAGGGAGGAAGAGATGGAAGAAAGTAGGTAGGGAAGGCAGAGGGTGTCAGACTTGGCAGTGTAGTACTCCTAACAGTGATCGTGTTTGTACTTAATTAAATTTTATGACTAATATGGGGGAGAGTCAGAGCGCGTTGCACGCGCTACACACGCACACACACACGCAATCAACACACACACACACACACACACACACACACACACACACCACACACACACACATACACACACATACACACACACATACACACACAATACACAACACACACACCCCACACACACACACAAACACCACACACACACACACACACACACACACACAGGAGACAGAAAGGGCTCCAGAAAGACGGAGAGGTGGGGTACACCACAGTACACACAACCGAGGAAGAAGGGAAGAGGCTTATGAGTGAGCTAGATACCTCAAATTATTATTATAATCAAAAAGAAGCGCTAAGCCGCAAGGGCTATACAGCTACATACCTCAAAGGCAATGGGGCCGGATAACATCTCTCCATGGGTCATGAGAGAGGGAGCAGAGGTGCTATGTGTACCCCTAACAACAATATTCAATGCATCAATCGAAACAGGGAGATTGCCTGAGGAATGGAAGACAGCAAATGTAGTCCCAATCTTTAAAAAAGGAGACAGACATGAAGCACTAAACTACAGACCAGTGTCACTGACATGTATAGTATGCAAAGTCACGGAGAAGATTATCAGGAGAAGAGTGGTGGAACACCTAGAAAGGAATGATCTCATCAACAGCAGCCAGCATGGTTTCAGGGACGGGAAATAGTATGTCACAAACCTACTGGAGTTCTATGACATGGTGACAGCATGAAGACAAGAGAGAGAGGGGTGGATGGATTGCATTTTTTTGGACTGCAAGAAGGCGTTTGACATAGTTCCACACAAGAGATTAGTGCAAAAACTGGAGGACCAAGCAGGGATAACAGGGAAGGCACTACAATGGATCAAGGAATACTTGTCAGGAAGACAGCAGAGAGTCATGGTACGTGGCGAGGTGTCAGAGGGGGCACCTGTGACCAGCGGGGTCCCACAGGGGTCAGTCCTAGGACCAGTGCTGTTTCTGGTAATTGTGAACGACATGACGGAAGGAAGACCCCGAAGTGTCCCTGTTTGCAGATGTGAAGTTGATGAGAAGAATTCATTCGATCGAAGACCAGGCAGAACTACAAAGGGATCTGGACAGGCTGCAGACCTGGTCCACCAATTGGCTGCTGGAGTTCAACCCTACCAAGTGCAAAGCCATGAAGATTGGGGAAGGGCAAAGAAGACCGCAGACGGAGAACAGTCTAGGGGGCCAGAGACTACAAGCCTCACTCAAGGAAAAAGATCTTGGGGTGATTATAACACCAGGCACATCTCCTGAAGCGCACATCAACCAAATAACTGCTGCAGCATATGGGCGCCTAGCAAACCTCAGAACAGCATTCCGACATCTTAATAAGGAATCGTTCAGGACCCTGTACACCGTGTACGTTAGGCCCATATTGGAGTATGCAGCACCAGTCCCACACCTACCCAAGCACGTAAAGAAACTAGAGAAAGTGCAAAGGTTTGCAACAAGACCAGTCCCAGAGGTAAGAGGTATGTCCTACGAGAAGAGGTTAAAGGAAATCAACCTGACGACACTGGACGACAGGAGAGATAGGGGGACATGATAACGACAGACAAAATACTGAGAGGAATTGACAAGGTGGACAAAGGCAGGATGTTCCAGAGATGGGACACAGCAACAAGGGGACACAGTTGGAAGTTGAAGACACAGATGAATCCCAGGGATGTCAGGAAGTATTTCTTCAGCCACAGAGTAGTCAGGAAGTGGAATAGT